GGGGTTAGCTCCCTTTTGGCTGGTGAGAGGCCAAGCTAATAGAGCTGTAATTATCGGACCCCTGACCTTAGCTTAGACTATTGTGCATGGCCCCCAGCCATCGTCGCAATTCTCTCCTCTCTTTAGTTGCTGGGCTTGTTTTCCATCCATTCTTGCTCCCTTCGCTTCAACCCAGGGGCCAAATTTCACTTCTTCCTCCCTCACACGTTGGCGATTGAGGCCTTATTCCGGTGATAAGACATTAGTATTGCTGCTACTACTGTACTATACTACCTGAACCTCACTATCGCTTGCTGGTGGCCCCTGGGTCAGCCGTCGATAGGTCGTCGCCTCACTCGTCACACACCCCCACTCCCTTCTTCTCCTTCACACCTCCTATCGCACACACACACCAGCTTCACTCTCTTACCGCCGCGGTTCTACTACCCAGGACCTCACGAACCGTATAGTACGGTACCTTTGGGTGGCTCGTAGCGAGGACCGGTATATCTTCCAAATATGGAACCTGCCCTGGCCTCCGCTCCGGGGTCTGGAGTAACGGAGCCTTCTGCGACTTCTGATACTCGTTCTGATACCAAGACACCTCCTGTCGACGTCCCATCTGCAGCATCTGCTACAACCTCTTTTGTCCCTGCCGATAACTCTATTCCATTATCCTCACCATCAGCCCACCCGCTTCAAATCGAAAAAGAACCGCATCCACCTTCTCCGAAATCCTCTCCCACACACGCTCGATCTCAGACGGTAGACGTTCTACCCGGCTCGTCCTCGGTCTCCGGCTCTGTTGCGTCGCCCTCTAGTTCCGTCCAGTCTCCCATCGGAGGTCCAATAAAGCGCAAACCTCTTTCATCATCGGCATCAGCATTGGCATTGCGATACTCTGCGTCGGGATCTCCCTTGCCGTCACCTCTGAATCTCGGAAAGCCGAGCCAGAGATTCGCGAGACCTTGTTCAGTTGACAGCCCGACCCTCTACGAATTCTCTCCTGCGCAACGCGCCGCACCACCAGCTGCCCCGTGAGTACTCTTCTCAGCATAATCCTTTGTCCCTTTGTTTCCATGTCTTACATATCCAACTGTACAACCCCTCACTTCCCTCACGGAATATGTGGCTAACTGGAATTCCTCTGGTAGAGCTCCCGACGCCAACCTGGCGTCCCTTGCCGCGACAACCCCTGGATCACAAAACATTCCAGGACACAGCCCTACCATCTCAAGTTCAGATTTCTCTGACGTCCTGGATGGGTATGATGATTTGATCTCAGACTCAAAATCAGATTCTGCACCAGACATTACCTCTGAGACCATCCTTGATGGGAGCGATAGCGACGACGACAAGGGCCAGAAGATTTTATCAATCGACAAAGAAACTGCCATTGTTCCTAAACCCGCCGAGCCAACCGACCGCTCTGAAACAGAGGTTCAAGGAACTCGATCACCTGCATCTGACGATACTATATCAGACCAGACTCTCGCTCCCGCCCCCATGTTTGTTCCAAAGCCAACACCACCACATCTCAAACTCGACAAGGTCACAATTGACGTTGCGAACTACGACACATCACCGGATGAACCAAACTCCCCCTCAGGTCAAGGAACACCACAGCTAAACAAGCCATTACCCAAGTCGCCGAGCCAGAATTCACCATTTGCTTCTCTGTTCCACTGGGCAGCACCATCGCCATCTCCCTCTGCGACGGAATTCTCGTCCACATCATCGCCAATCTCCCCCTCGAAACGCGGCGTGGCCAATGATTCCCCCTATTCTACGGTTAGCAACCCTTACTATATTCACGAAGATTCTTCAAGCGTGACGGATATCTCGAGCTCTCGTAACTCATACTCATCGGTTTTACAGTCCCCTACTTACGCGCAAATCGACGAAATGGAAGATGAATTGAAGGCCATTAGCGCCGAGCTGGCAAGCTCAATCCGGCGCGAGATGGATCTGGAAGACCTAGTAGATCGACTCCAGGAACAAGTCAACAACCCTCAAGCTCCCGGTAAGAGGTCAAGCGATTATTACTCCGACTCGGGTTATAGTTCGGCAAAGATGAGTGAAGCCGAGCCGAGTCGAGAGGAACTTGAGAAGATTCAAAGGAGGGCCGAACAAGAGAAGGCTTCCATAAGATTAGAGCTCACGAATAAGCTCCAGGATGAAAGGGGGAAACGAAAAGCGCTCGACCACCAGATCAAAGAGCTTGCCGAAAAGGCTTCGCAAATCGACCAGGCGCAATTACACAACCAAGATGCCAGTGGTCGACTTAAGGATCTCGAAACTACTTGTGGTGATCTCAGGAGGCGACTATCTGAGGAGCGCGTTGTCAAGAACAACTTTGAAGACCTCATCAACGCCATCAGGGGAGAGCTCCACGAAGCGACCAGTGAGCGAGATAACCTTCGAGACGAAGTCGTCCCTCAGCTCAGGGCGCGTGTCGAGGGCCTCGAGATAGAGGCTGCTGAATACTCGAACTTGACCTATGAGTCTTCCAAAATGCAGCAAGAGCTTCATATGCTCAGGAAAGAATACGACAACTTGCGAGGCTCGTCGAGGTCCGGGTCTCCGACGCCTTCAATGAACCGCATGTCTCGCGCTATGTCTGGCGGTTTCGGTGGCGGCCTTGCCCGATCAAACTCGGTTGCGACAGGCTCGTTCCGTGGCCAACGACCCTCTGGCCTATCGCGGTCTAACAGTGTTAAGAACGTACAGAACGAGTCCAGAGAGGCCCTCTCTGAGCGCCTAAAAGATGTCGAGGCCCAAAGAGACGCCCTCCACAAAGCACTGAAAAATCTACTTGACCGCCAAGAGTTTCAGAACCGCGAGAACGAAAAGAAGATCAGGATGCTACAGAACGAACGAGAGAGGCTACTCTCAGCATCCCCAAGGAAGGCTGGATTTGAAAGAGAAATCTCAAACTTGCGCACAGAGATCAATGTTCTTCGTCGCCGAGCTGAAGATGCACTTGAGCAGAAGTGGCAGGTTGAAAGCGGCCTTGGCGGACTGAAGATGGATTTGGATAAGGCTGAAGAGGAGATTTCTTTGCTTCGCAACCTGCTCGAGGAAAAGGACATCCTTATTCCCGAATCTTTCGCACGCTCAAGTGGTTCCAGTAATGCAAGCAGCTCCTTTGGTAACCTGAGTGCGCCAGTTACATCTGAGTCGCTTGCCAAGGCTTACAATGAGCTCAAGGCTGCCTATGCTGAATCACTCGAGAGAATCAAGCAGTTCGAGCATGAGACAGTTGGTGATGAGAAGACTCAGCTTGCTGTCGAGCGACTAGAGCGCACTCTGTCCATTGCAGTTTCTGAACGCGATGCCGCCCAACACGAAGTTGAGAATCTAAAAAATCAGTATGATACAATGAGCGAATATGAGGTCAAGACAATTGAAAGCGAGCGCGCTCTTGCTGACGAGCTTAACGACTCTGCTCGTCGGGTTGGAGAGCTCGCAACCCAGGTTCAACAACAGCTCGCTGCAAATGCTCAGCTCCGAGAGCGTCTCTCTAACGCTGTCATGCGTGGCGACAACGATCGCAAGGCTAACTCGGATCGGATCGCTGACCTGCAAGTTCGCCTTAAGTCTATGGAAGAGCAACTGATCGCTGCTCAGTCAGCATCTGAAGATCGTGTCAACCGTCATGAGGAGGAGATTGCCGCTATCCGCGAGGCGCATAATGCCCAGCTCCAGCGCATGAGCAACAACACCGGACTCAGCGGCCCCCGCTCACCTAACTTTCAGGCTAACCGCAAGCCTTCGCTCCTCAGCCCCCTATCCCCACGATTCCCCGGCGCTCTACGATCCCCTCGTTTGCCCGAGAAGTCTTTTGAGGACGCCGCTCAGATGGAGGTGCTTCGCAACCGCATTACTGAGTTGGAGAAGGCACTCGAGGATGCCGAGCAGGAGATGCAGGACGTTGTGGCTAGGATGAGCACTGCTCAGATCGAGGTGCTCAACCTCCAAGATGAGCGAGAGGCCGCAGTCCGCGAGACCCGACGCCTGCAGAAGCTTCTGGAGCAGGAGCAGATGAAATCCTTTGAGGATAGATTTAAGACGCTTAGTGGCAGCGCCTGAAAGAGAAGGAATGCGAATAATTAAGACCACATGGGTTGGAGTATCATGATGGGAGCACCTTTCACGGTTGGTGCCCATGTTGCATTTAGCGAGGCGGAGTTATCTGATTTCACCATCATCATTATTTGGTAATGATTCTCAGCGACCAGGAAACAAAGACCTGGACACACATTCTACACAGCCTTTGACTAGTCTTGGGAGTACTCTATTGGGTACGTATCGTCTCGCTCACATTACGCGTGCATTGGAAAAGGAGCACTGGGGAAACATTTGTGTTGAATAGCTGATGCTTGTTTTGCATCGAACACAGACCGCAAAGGATGTGTGTTCTTGAGTACCTTATATATAATGTTTGTATTCTCGTTTGACTATGAGTTTGTCGGGGGTGCTTGCACCTGTTGGATTGTAAGATATTGGAATTGGTACCAGCCGACCAAATTGACCCTTGTATATCAATCGAGTTTAATTATAATGCATATTCAAGTACATCAAATCTGTGGCAGAAGGATTGTCTTACGTTTATGCATCCTGTTCAATATGTCTTTGTGTGATTTCAGTGTAGAAAACTTCACGCTCTCGAGTTTTGGTGTTTGCTCCTTTACATTGATTCTGTGGTAGGGACAATTTCTGTTAGAGCTACCATAGGACCTTGTCTCCCAACGTGATTGGAAGTCGCTCTATGTCATCGTGGTCGCGATTGCTGTAGAGCCCATTCCATTCATCAACTGACTAAGGTAGGAAGCTGCTTGCCGCATGCATTGCTAAATTATCCAACACATTCGGGCCCTGCAGGATAACGATTTCCAATAAGACTCATCTCTTTCAACTTGTTGTATTATGTATACCATCACACTTCAGGCCAAAGCATCTTCACTATCCTTTGACCCCGATACCCGAGTCATAAATATTGTCAAGCTTGACTGAAGGCAATGATATCGTTTAAACACCACGCCCTTTACTGGGTCTTGTCACTCTTGACTGTTCCCCTTACCAGCCTCCGGAAGCTCCTGTTCGGCAATGGACTCTTCATGGGCTCTATTGACGAGGTCGAATTCGCGACTACATGCCTCTCCATGTATTTTGTTGCACGCCCTGTATTAGGCGGACTCCAAGAATTTGATCGAGAAGTAGAAGTTGGCGTGACCAAGTGCAGTGGTCTTATCGAGGCGGCTGATCTCGAAAAGCCCGTCGAGGAGAATAGCATCACGAAAGAACCTGAATCCAGAAACGGCGATGCGAAAGGAACAAAGCCCAAAAAGGGCCGGAAGAAACCAGCAAAAGGTGTCAATGGCAAGCCTCGAGCAGTTCATTTTCAGAAGGAGCCAGCCCAGAATGGGGATGCGAAGCTGTCGAACGGGAATAGAGCTCTTCAGAACATAGCGGCGGCACAACGACCCCGGAAGAAATCCACTGGTCGATACACTGCCACCCAGCAGTCATTCTTCAACTTGGCTTGGAAGTACCTTGATGTTCTGTATTTTATGTCTCTAGGGATTTTGTTCACTCATCCAGAGCCTCTCATTGGGTTTGGCGAGTGCGTTGGGAACGACCACCTCCAGTCAGTTGGTCGAGTACTCGTGAGCTTCCTAGTCATGGGCAATCTGGAACCAATCAGACAGAATGTGAGTAGCTTTGATGTCGTTCAGCCTCGCTTGTTTGCTGATGAGTCGTTTTTAGCGCTGGGACGTCGGAGTGTCTGGCCTGGGGATGTTCTCCTACTGTTGTGTATTATGCAGCGAAGGACCTGGTCCTTGGACGTCAACATTGATGGGATTTTGTGGCTTGTTGGTCATGGGAATCCTTGTAGAGTGTTCTCTTTATACAAATCTGCAGTATTGGCCTTGGTGGCCTGGTATCTGGTTCGCTGATAGCCTCAGTGGTCTCGATATTTTCATTCGTGTTTGGTTACTGGTGCCACTCATTGATGTTGCCGAGACCGTAAGTTTCTGAGACGTTCTGAGAGTAGAATAAACTAACGACGAAGCAGGTACTGTACGCTATTGCTTCCAGAGTCCGTCCAGAATGGTACAGAAAGAGACTGGAGCTTATGGAAAGACCTCTTTAGTACACGAGGGTTGCACATAAGATCTTTGTCATGGTAGTCACCTGGCTTCTTTTTACTGTAATTCGGACGGCCCCATGGCAGCCCCTGTTTTTGAAACAGCATAATGGAGATACCTTCATTGACACGGCGAAACCTATCGAGTTAATGCAGACAGGGGATGGTCCTACTTGCGAGGATGCTAAGAGTCTACTAAGACACGGCGACATGGCTGGAACAGCAAGTGGAAACATTAAAAGCGATCAGAACTACGAGTAATCAAGAAGTGCGGTATTGTAACAAATACCTAGCTAGTCTGTATACAGCGTATAAAGCTCTGTCCTGCACAGATTTAGCAGAACATGAACTGATAGGTACATGCTCTAATACCCGAATGTCCGTGATTAGGCATGATTGCTGTGTAAACGCACCGACTGAAACAAAACGCCGTATCCGAAGCCACACGTTATTGGTAAAGACAGGCCACTCAACTCGAGGCTCGAGAGAGACGCCATTGTTGTTGTGATATCTTTCGACGACCTGGGGAAAGGTAGAAGCTCTCGGACAATCAGAATGACACAAAACAAACAATAATAATAATAGGATAAGTCTAGAATGTCCTAGGAATACCCTGGCGAGCTCTTTGAGTAGCTATTCTTTGCCTTTTGACCCAGAGTCTCAACAATTGTGACGCAGCAAGGCCTGCATAATAACTGCCTATGCATATGCATCTCACCTGGCTACGATTCGGGCTCAAACAGCTCTTTGCATGTGAACAGGGGCAAGTAATGAGAGTTCGAAAGCATGGATTATGACCTATGATAAGATCCAACAGCATCAATTTTAGATTTTACTAATATTATTCTCACTATCAATATCTTGCTGAGTTTCAACTCTCTCAGAACCTCCAAGTGCCGCTGATTCCTGACATGTCAATATCATCTTTTGAGGGACAGTGCAGTGTCAGATATCATAATTAGCATATTTACAATCCCATTCATGTTCCTATGCTTTATCTCGTCTTGAAGAGCCCGAGGGGATGCTTATGCGGATTCACACTTGGCGGAAGCGTGTGGCCAACAGACTGAACTAAAAGACGAAGCATGATGATGAAACGAGACATATCAAATATCACATAACAATAAGAAACGTGAACATCATGATTCAAGCCACCTTCCAAAGACTGTTGACAGACTCGAGATGTGACACGACGAGCTCTTGAGCTTTGACGTCTGTGTTCGCTCACCGGAGGTCTACTGAAGCTGGGCGTCCAAGATGAGACCCCCACACCTTGGGTGGACCAATCAAGGTGTAAGTGCTTATCAGGGACCCAAGGGTGAGCTTCAGCTCAGTGGCTGAGAGGAAGTTTCGTCATGTGTGACGGGTTGACTCAAGAGGACGATTTCTTTGCTTTTTGTTTTAAGGGAGAGGACCTGTCGTTTATACACCGGGTGAGTGGGTAGTGGTGAGGAGACAGAGAGATAACACTGAGTGTAGAGTTATTCATAACTTCCTTGTAGAGCATCAATCTGCATCTCCGGAGGGATCCAGAGGCAAATAGATCAACATTACATGTAAGCAGTCAGGGGCAGGCTGGGGTCCGGGGATGCCTTATCAGAAGGAAGATCTGGGGTTTTATAGCGACTGATATAGGCATTCTTTGCCATTTGTCGTGCGTTTTACATGAGTTTTTGGCAAAGTGAAGCGAGATATCGTAGCAGCGAGGGAAGTCTGATGCCACTGTAATATAGGACTGATATGTGTTCCGGCATATCGAGGCCTTGTCAGGGCTAGAACTGGATAAGTTTGCGATGAATTCCTCACAAGGCGGCATGGCGTGGTCGAAGAAGGTTGGAAGGGCTACAGAAGGGGACTGAGGAAAAGGGGAAACTCTAAGTGAGCTAATGAATTGAGTTGCAGTGGAAGTGCGCCCGTAGTCATACTTGATGACTCTGTCTGCGGGCAATTCATCTGGATGCTCATTCAGAATACAGTTGAGACGAAGGCTGGAGATGAAGATAGGTAGTGTGAGAGTGACAAGTGAGTGGCGAGGCTTAACTAAGGATAACTCTTCCGCAAGTCGACAAGCGGCCGCTGTATTGGATCGCCTGGTCTGGGGTGACCCCCACTGTATGGTAGCTGACAGAATAATTCAGCCTTGAGACTCGAGATTGATATGTGTGACTACTCAATCTATTTCGTCGCCTCCCACTCTAGCTCAGAGTCGAATTGCCTCGCCCCGAAAAAACGTCACGGCGGTACCGGTAGTCTCGAGACCCTTTTCGCGTCGTCGTCGTCTCCTCCATATTTTCCCTCTTAACCAAAAGCCCACGGAGTCAGCCCAGATACTCCAACAGTCTAACTCGGTATATTACGTCGTCCCAGGGGTTGCACAGCCAAGCTCGCGTCCAGGGATCTCTTATCTCTGTCCCGCCTGAACCGGAATCGCGCCCTTTTTCTCTCACATTCTCAATCTCAGCCGTGCACACTCTCAACACCAATTGCACCCCCTGCCTAGATCTCTTATCTTTCGAGTCCCTTCCTCCCTTCCTCCTACTTTACTGTTGGCCCAGAATGTCACTATCACTTCCGCTGTCACGCAGTGCAACCTTCTTGACCTTGTCACATCATCCCTCTTTATCGACGTTGGGATTTCTATTTCTATATCACTCCTCCCAAGTCAGAACCGGCGTCATGGCTATGGGAGGCGATGGTGATGCTCGAGGAGCAACGCAGCTCAAGTATAACGGTACAGGCGCAACAGGTGCTAATCCGCTCGATATGGACGTCAATATCTGGTACGAGGTGAGTTGTTCATCTCCGTCTCTCATTCTCTCCTCCTTGGTCCTCACTCTGTTCACTTTCTATTCCTCTTGATCCCTCAGTCTTTCTCATCTTTCTCTCACTCAAAAAAACGAGTCTGAGAAAGTCCTTTGAGACAGGCAGTGGGTCACGTTGAATAGTGGCCCCTCCAATATCTTGAACGCCCGCAAGCTGACATTTTGCGCCCGCAGCCTGGTGATATTGCCTGGATGCTCTCGGCCACAGCTCTAGTGCTGCTAATGGTTCCTGGCGTTGGGTAAGTCTCTCTGGCGCTGTTCAATTGGATTAGTGATCTCATTTACTGACGTTTGTGTCCAAAGCTTCTTCTATTCAGGCCTCGCCCGTCGCAAATCGGCTCTGTCGCTGATATGGCTCTCAGTAATGAGCGCTGCAGTGACAACTTTCCAATGGTTCTTCTGGGGCTTCTCTCTCACCTTCTCGCATACGGCCGGCCCGTTTATCGGTGACCTTGCCAACTTTGGCTTCCGCGATGTCCTGGCCCGGCCCTCGGTTGGTTCCGCTCATCTCCCCGATATGCTCTTCGCCGTTTACCAGGGCATGTTCTCCGCCCTAACTGTGGCTCTCGCTACCGGTGCCGTCGCCGAGCGTGGCCGCATGCTCCCCTGCATTATCTTCACCTTCGTGTGGGCCACTGTCGTGTACGACCCCATTGCCTGCTGGACCTGGAACCCCAGTGGCTGGTCTAACAAGATGGGCGGCCTCGATTTTGCTGGAGGTACCCCTGTGCACATCGCTTCTGGAAGCGCTGCTCTGGCTTATTCAATGATGCTGGGCAAGCGTAGTGGCCATGGAACGCATGAGCTCAACTACCGCCCTCACAATGCTACTCATATCGTGACCGGAACGGTCTTCCTTTGGGTTGGATGGTTTGGCTTCAACGCCGGCTCTGCCCTCTCTGCTAACCTTCGCGGCGTAATGGCCGCCATCGTGACTAACCTTGCTGCTTGTGTCGGGGGCATTACCTGGTGTCTGTTGGACTATCGTCTGGAGAGGAAGTTCTCCACTGTCGGCTTTTGCTCTGGTGTTGTTGCCGGTCTCGTCTGCATCACCCCTGGCTCTGGTGAGCAGGTCCTAATCTTTCAATACTGACGTGAGCTAACATTAGTCTAGGCTATGTCCCCCCATGGTCTGCTGTCATCTTTGGTGCTGTCGGCGCTGCTGGCTCTAACTATGCTACCAAGGTCAAGTTCCTCCTTGGAATTGACGATGCACTCGATATCTTCGCCGTTCACGGCATTGGTGGTTTGATCGGCAATATCTGCACCGCCTTCTTCGCCACCCCAAGCATCGCTGCTCTCGACGGCTACTCTCACATCAAGGGCGGTTGGGTCGAACGTCACTGGGCGCAGATGGGTTATCAACTGGCCGATTCCATCTGTGGAGGCCTATACTCGTTCGTCGTCACTTGCAGCATCCTGTTCCTCATGAACCTTATTCCGGGTCTGCGTCTTCGAGTCGATTCGGATGCCGAAGTTCAGGGCATTGACGATGCCGAGATTGGCGAGTTCGCATACGATTACGTCGAACTTACTCGCGAAGTCGTCAGCGATATTGACAACGAGTCCGGAAGCCGATACTCAGCCGATCCTACGGCTTTCCACCATTACGAAAAGAACCACATTCCCATGATTGATGCTCGCATGTTTGGTGGCCAGCCCGCGCATGCCCCTGTGACGTTTCCACAGTGAGATTGCTTATGACAGGCGGGACGGCTATATGTATTGAGTCAAATTGTATGCATCGAACGGCGCCATGGGTTTGTTGAGTTATAGATACCCCGGTTCTTTTCCTGAACCGATTTTATTGGATTATTTAGTTCTATAGTACATGGTTTCATTGTGGTATCAGGTTACCAGCCTAGGTAGACACTTGAGTATAAAAACAAAAGGCATATTTTCCCATCCAAAGATCCCTCCAGTCTCCGTGATGCACCATGGCAATGGGACTGGACTTTTCCCATTCACGATCATCCTTGTTAATTAGCGGGTCGGACCGTGATTCAGCACTGAAGCCTGGCGATTCTAGCGGTTCGTGCATGAATGAGACTGGCCAATCAGGCGAGACAATTGTCCTTGAACTTGTCAACCTCTTGAGTCTTGGATGCACCATGAATATTGAACATCTCCTCTTGGACTAATAGCAGCAGTCTGAACAGCTAAATCTGTACACTACTATAACACATAGGCTTACATGACTAGCGATATCTTGTGGCAGGCATCAGCCAAGAATCTTGGGGTATGATCGAAACTCTGCCTTTAAAGTCGCGTTTCATGGCGCAAGTCTCACAAGCATAAACAAACTCCGGAACCTCACCATGACCTCCCTGCAAGAAAAGACAGCTTTCTTCGATCAGCTGAAGCCGCTCTCTAGCGATGATGAGCTTGATACGGACCAACAAAAAGAAAGGATGCGCTCTCGGAGGTTCTTCGCTGTCAAAGCACGCCCCAGACCACCAGCAAAGGAATCTGTCGTGCTTGACCTAACTAACAGTGAAGCTCAAAAGTTGAGAGTGACACCTAGAAGGGTCACTTCACTCCCAACGCCAGCACCTGCTGATAGAACAAAGATCATCAAAGGCACTCCGATGACTGCCATCGGCCAAAAGACCAGGCTCGGCACACTCATGAATCAACGCAGCGCTGGCGCTATTCTAGTCGATGATACACCTATCCCTGACTCTACGAGGCAGACACGGAGAACACTCCCTAGGAGCGGGTCTACACCTTTGTTCCCATCGGGTCGAAATCTTGGACAAACAGTAGGCGACTCGCCTTCCCCAAGCTTGGCAATGAAGAAGCGAAAGCGTGAAAGTACCATCAACCTCAAGCCAGAGAGCGAACAGATATTCAAAGGACTCACTTTCCATTACATTCCTGATGACGATGTTGCACCAGCTCGTCGATTACGCATCACAAAGGCGCGCGAGTTTGGTGCAACATGGGTACGGACTCCACGCATTGCTACTCATATTGTTGTTGAGAAACACATACACTACAAGGATATCGAGAGCGTGTTGAAGAATACGAACAGAAACCTTCCGCCTAGAGTCGTCAACGAGGAGTACCCAATCGACTGCATCCAATTCAAATCGCTGCTTCAATGCAGCCAAAAGAGGTATCGGCTTACAGGCCAACCGATAGCCCGGGAAGGAGATAACTCATCGCCTGTCCCGTCAAGTTCTGGGAAGCCTAATGAGTCTTTGCAAGTGAAGCCGCATCATAGGAATTCGAAGAAGTGGGATTTTGTTCCTCTCACAGGAACACCTGAAAGGAGCGAAGAGTCTCCTCATAACAGTCAAGTTGCCGAGACTCCTGTCCCGACTGATTCTCAGCCAGTTGTGCTTGATCTTCAAGGGATGGCCTCATCTCATTATGCGGCTAGTGAAAGGCCTACGATTTCCCGACAAAATTCCACGATAATTGTTCAAGAACCAAGTGGCTCAATGCAGCACCCAGATGAGGATCGCCATAAGGACGAGCTATCCGAGTACATCAAGATAATGTCGGAATATAAGGACCTGCCATTAGATGCGGATGATGATGATGTCCAGACGGTTACGGAAATGGGAGACCTGGAATTTGAAGAACAACCCCTTTCAGGCTCAGAAGATGAACGAGCCAACAAACGACGGTCACGAAGAAAGATTAGATCAGGTCGCAAAGACATCGCTTTCGAAGATCGGTTCTCCTGCAACTCCGCCGGAGTAAAAGATGCCAAGGCGGGGAATCCAAATTCGTGCACAATCGAGGTTCTCCAATCCATGGCTGATTACTATACTCGGGTGAACGATCATTGGCGAACAACCGCCTATCGAAAAGTTATCAGCACCCTAAAGCGTCAAGAGACGAAAATCACAACAGCCGAGGAGGCACAAAGACTACCTAGCGTGGGACCGCGTCTGGCGCAGAAGATTGCAGAAATCGTCACTACAGATAGGCTTCGGCGATTTGAGTACGCCCAGAAAGAGCCGATGGACGAGGCACTCCAACTGTTCCTTGGAATTTATGGTGTTGGAAACAGTCAGGCCCAGCAATGGTTGGCTCAAGGATTTCGGACGTTGGACGACTTGAAAACGAGCGCGAAACTCTCACCAAATCAGCTCATAGGCATCGAGCACTACAATGATCTCAACACCAGGATTCCGCGTCGTGAGATTGAGGCCTTGGGTGCTATTGTGAGAAGAAATGCTCAGCGTGTCGATGCTCAGGTTGAGTTGATCATTGGGGGGAGTTATCGAAGAGGAGCAGAAACGTCGGGCGATATCGATTTCATCATCACCAAGCCGAATACCGAGTCATCGGCTGAACTGAGGCCTTTTCTTGATAGCCTTGTCCAACTTCTTGAAGTCGAAGACTTCCTTGTGGCACGGCTCGCGTCATCAAGATCTGTCAGCGACGGAAGTAAATGGCATGGATGCTGTGTGCTCCCTAAGATCAGTGGTTTCAACGAGGAGCATTACAGACCCGTGTGGCGCCGCATTGACTTTCTCCTGGTTCCTGAATCAGAGATGGGCGCGGCTCTGATCTATTTCACTGGCAATGACATCTTTAATCGCAGCATGCGATTGTTGGCTTCCAAGAAAGGAATGCGACTGAACCAACGGGGTTTATACAAGGATGTGATGCGAGGGCCGCAACGGGTCAAGGTCACGGAGGGAGAGTTAGTCGAAGGACGAAATGAACGAAAGATCTTTGATATTCTGGGGGTCAAGTGGAGAGAGCCTCATGAGCGGTGGTGTTAAGGGTCCAGCCAATATTCAGTAAAGGGATTATACCCAAAGTTCCTTCATCATTCTTCGTTGGATGGAGGCGTCGCATATAACATCACAGAGCCTCACGGTGTCATTTTTGGTCTACCGAGGTCAAAGTGGAGGAGTTTCGGGATGAACCAAGGGTACCTGAATAGCGTGGAGTTAAGGGGTTCGAAAATTGGAGATGAGCTCCATTAGCATACGATCGATTTTGAAGCCCTCCATGAAGGCATGAAAATGAGATCTAGACTATACATACGGAGTACGTGCCTAGTCGTCCCATGTGAATCAGACTGATGTGAGATTTCCCCAGATCTTGGCTAATGCAACTGGAACCTCCGTCGAACCGCCATTCACATGTGAAATTCCTTAGATCCATTCTCCCTCCTCTCCAAATCTCAGACCTTTCAGTGGACAGCTCCCGCTGCGTCATAGTCGACTAGGCACTGTAGTGTATTTTTCCAGTGGGGGGATATTATTGCCGGTGCCATTCTCCGCAACACAAGCCGAGCGCAAACATCCGAGGCTCAATAGACAGGTGACATAGCACGTATCCATAATCCGGGGCGCCTTCAAAACCCATGAACCTACCAACTTTATCGATACCTCTGAATCCATCCATGCTCCTATACGACTCTTCCGCACGTGGAATCTGACCGACAAAATCACGCGACGACATTCGATGCCTTGAGACTAAAGCGCTTTCCGACAAACATCCTCTCTTGACGCTGCGACCGACCCTCTCTTTACGGTTCTTTTGCCGAGGCTTGGGGACAAGATGGCCATGTCATCTTCGCTGGAAGTGCTAAAGGTACCGCTCTCATCGACCGGTGGCACGGTGAAGTTTGCGCTGACGGGTTTTGGATAGAACACGCTGGAGGAGATTGTCAAGGACCCGCGATACCATGATCTCTTGTCCTTAGTCAAGACGGCGCGCAATGGTATTATCTACGGAACCAAGGTGCGGTTTCCGCATGCGCTGGTGTAAGTCATATGCACTCTCTTGGCAACCTCGATACTGACAAGCACGAATAGGATGGTGTTTCTCTTCCGCTCTGGAACGTACGTTTCATCTGTCTCGACACCCGACTGGCAACAACGCTGACGTGCAACAACAGATTCCCACAGAAAGTAAACCTAGTCCTTCGAGCGACAAGACATCATGCAACCAACCTGGCGCGCTTTGCCCTTATTTATAAGCTGACCATGCTTGCGCTCAAATACTTTGGCGCAGAGCCTGGAAAGGAGGGTACGTCATCGTCACCGAAGGTTACCCTCAGCATGTTCCCAGAATTCTAACTATGAATAGGAACATATGATTCCTTCGTTGGTGGTCTTGTTGGCGGATATTTCGTCTTCGGCGGTCGTTCCAAGCGTACGGGAAAGATCTCATCGGTCAACCAGCAGATCGTCATTTACGTCTTTGCGCGAGTGATGCTCGCACTCGCTCGTATCGCCGTTAAGCCAGGCCACGGATTCCCATTCGTATCGTCCGAACCTCTCCACGGAGTCATTAATCAATATGCCTGGCCTGCGTTCGCGTCGCTCTCGTGGGCCATGGTGATGTTGATCTTCCGATATCATCCCGAGGAGCTGCAGTCGAGCTTGAGAAGCAGTATGACGTACATTTATAAGGACTGCAATGACTTTGACTCGCTCCGAACTTTGCTTTGGCATAACAAATAGAGATGATTCTTGTCGGTTAGTTGTTTTGGCGTTGGGCGTGAGAGATGCTCGATAATTTTGCATATCGGGGATTCATTGTTTTAGCATTGCAATCACCATAGGCCGGAACCTTGGGTTTTTAGGAAGCATGAGTAGACATGGATACATGAAACCAATATGATAGAGGTGAATCTGTCCTACTTGTAGGTTGGATATTTGGATGCAAATATTGAATGCCATACCATAGACTCCATATCCTTATAAAGAAGTTTAGCCAAAGCTTATTGTTTCGTCATGCTAAAATTTTAGATGATTTCAACAATCAAATTGCGATTAAGGAGGAAAGATTTCTAGTCCTTCTTGAAGCCAAGATAGCTAGTGGTCGTTATAGAGCAGTTTATTGGCGCGTCTTGTAAGATTACTTGTGGGTTGAGCGTCTTGTCAATTACAACTTTTGTCATAATGAACAGTATGGAGGTAAGGTTGAGAACTATCCAGCTTTAATAGCTGCCTCAACCAGATCGCGCTAATCCGGCAACCTACCCCGCTAGAGCTGACCCCTGCTTGCCCCTCCACACTGACGCCTGTAGTGAGCCTCAACTTTACCCCCAGGCAGCTATACCTCCACCTCAGTCCATCATCTTTGCATCTAACAGATTCTCACCAACCGACGGCCATGGCACCAAATCCCAAAGTCGCGGAGGCGATCTCCAACGCCGAGTCTCATTCTGGAGAGAAAGGACCGCTTTACGAGCAACTGCTCTCCGAAATTAAGAACATTTCATCCCCGTCCACCGCTACTGACGACCTAAATGCTATCATCGACTCCTTCTTTAACCAGGCGCTCGGCGTCGTGGCAACGCGAACCGTCCTCGCGTCTTTTATTGCGACGCTCCGAGAACTAAAGAACGAGGATATGTGGATCGAGGTTGGGAATCGAACGCTAAACACCATCGCGGCCCAGCCATCATCATCTTCCTTCGTTGAGGCCGTCGCCACTATCCGTGAGCTCATTGCAACGGCCCACGAAAGCAACGGTGACTTCCTTGATGCGGCAAAGACTCTGGCCGATATTCCCCTTGATAGTTCTCAGCGCAAGATCACCGATGAGGAGAAAGCTCGCACATGGATTCGCATCGTTCGAAACTATCTCGAAGTCGACGACTCTACGGCCGCCGAGATGTATATCAACAAGCTCAAGAACATCATGCATACCGTATCTGATCAAGAACTAAACTTGCACTTCAAACTCTCACAAGCCCGTATTCTGGACGCTCAGCGCGACTTTTTATCCGCATCTCAACGATATCACGAGATCAGCTTCTCGCCTGCGATCGACGAAGAGGAACGCTTACACACGCTCAGTATGGCGGTGAAATGTGCTGTTCTAGCACCCGCTGGTCCCATGAGAAACCGAACATTGAGCCGCCTCTACAAAGATGAACGTTCGTCGCAACTTGAGGAATTTGGTATCCTGGAAAAGATGTTCCTTGACCGGCTGTTGTCACCTGAAGAGGTTGACAAGTTTGCAGAGGGGCTGCAGCCACATCAGCTGGCAACTACATCAGATGGCTCCACGGTACTCGCCAAGGCTGTCGTCGAGCACAATCTTCTTGGTGCATCCAGGCTTTACAACAATATTAGATTTGAGGCGCTGGGAACACTATTGGGCCTGGATGCTGATAAGGCGGAAGAGACCACTGCACGTATGATTGAGCAGGGTCGTTTAGTCGGACGCATGGATCAGATTGATGGCATTGTGTGCTTTGAGGGTGGCGAGGCATCTGGAGAGAAGGGTAGTGGGCGAGCAGAAATTATTGTTGGAAAAGAAATGCGAAATTGGGATGCCAACGTCGAGAGTTTGGCTGAGGAGGTGGAGAATGTCACCAATGCGCTGCAAAAGGAGTTTCCCGTAAGTGCCCAAGTTATTGATCAAAAATTTGGTTGATCTCGTACTGACTCTATTTTAAAAGGAATTTGTTGCCGCAACCCTTGTTGTATGAAAAAAAGGACGGATTAGAACCTCGTAGTGGATATGGCGTTTAGGGATTGGGATGATCAAGGGCTGTTTATGTCAATGCATAGCATGTGTATCCCTTTGTTCTAGACTGGCAATTTTAATAAGCCAAAAGCTTTAGTCCAAATCTTTCTTGCGGACAACCACGTATCCTTCATTAATATTCCGAGGGTTGCCATCCTCTTCATCGAACTGGACTTCATCCTCCAATGCCAAGACTTCCGAGGTTTTGGAGTTGGTGGGCTCTTCAAATGTGCCTTCGCTCCAGAGGATATCTATAAGGGCGTCGGCGATGTGATTGCCCATCCAGTCGTAGCCCTCGTCTCGGAGATGGAGACCGTCATCCCAGTACCTTTCACGATCCCGTTCTGAGAGCGAATGGTAGGGTATCTTGGAATGAAGGTCAAAGGCGTAACTGTCAAAAATCAGCATCAACTACTAGCAAAGACAGTCATTTCATAGTTAAAAAATTCATGTAAAAACTTCTGTACAGTCCTTGAACTTACTATCCCGTGTCTTTGTTCTTTAGGATGCTCTGGTTGAGCTCGTTTCTTGTCGACGTGCCTCTCTTGCCTTTTGACTGGCACTCAGGGACTGTTAGAGCGAGAACCTTGTATTCTCTACTCAGAGGGACATCGTATAAGTCCTTAAGGGCGGAAAAGATGTCTTCAGGTTGGACGCCGTACGCTATATCGCTACAGGCGTATATCAGCATATTTGTATCTGGCAGAGTTTGTATAACTCACTTCGTACCACCGAGGATAATTGTCCAGTCGTAATAATTATCCTCCCCTATCCCTCCTTGTTAGCCGGTCAAACGCTACAAAGGACTTGAAAGAACACTATATAATGAGAGGCACATACAAGCAGCATCCATTCTATCTTTGAAGCGCTTGAAAGAAGCAACATCGCCTGGCACAGCATTCAGCACGATCTCAAAGTCCACTTCGGGAAACGTCCCGGTGAGCCGGTCTTCCAGCTTGAGAGCGTATGGATGCGAGTCCAAGCCATGGCAGAAATATCCCGATGTTAGTGAGTCTCCAAAGCATAGTATACGGAGCGTCTTGCGAGGCATGGTGACGATGTCTTTTGTTTCAGGTTGTGTAAACAGTGGGTGAGTAATAGCGAGGCGGGGTGGTATGAAGGGTGATTGCGTAGGTAGGTAGGTCAGTTGGTGTAAGCAGGCTGCAGCAATGGAGGTTCTACGAGAAGGTTCACGCGCATGCGCATTCTATGTGTTTGCAAACTCCTGGGAGGCTTGTTCAATTCATTATCACAATATGCCTGAATAGTTACTTGTTTATTTGGGCTTTAGAATTATTATTAGAGATTTAGTAAATGCTTAAGTCTACTTTATATATATAAATTAAAAGTTAATAAAGAAAGTAATTAATAATTAATAAAATACTTTTAAATATATAAAACCTTTTATTTAATATTATAGTAAATTAATAAATTAATTAGTTTTCTATGTAAATAAAATATAAGACATGGAGATACATCTATTAGTATAAAGTTCCTACCCGAAATATAGCATCGGTGAGATGGCCGAGTTGGTTATGGCGCCAGGTTAAGGTCAACCTTAACACCAATTTCCTGGTGGAGCAATCCTCCTGGGTTCGAGTCCCAGTCTCATCAGACATTCCTTTTTGCTGCTACATGTTTATCAAGTAAGCCAAATTCCTTTTTGCTATTCGTGCGATGACGGAGTTTTCTCACGACATCATCGTAAAAAAGCTTAAGCTCCAATCTTTTCAGGCTTCCTAGGCTTAAACTCAATTTCCATATAGCTATTCTCATCGACTGATAAGAGCTCGCACCCTTCTAAATGATTCCAGTACGGACGACATTTAACCTCCGCACTCGTTCGTCATATCCCAAGCTTTGACCAAGCATTTAAGGCTGATTCCCCTGCAAAATATTTATAATTGCAACAATTCAGAGCAACACGATCCACGTTTGTCGCTGTTTTTTCTGCGACTGCCCCGCCCCCTCCATTGCTCTTCCGCAATCGCAACTACCCCGCCAAACTTTTTTTCCTTTTGGCCTTTCCTTACTCGCCCGAGAGCCCAATCCAAACCTGAATGAGACGCCCTCTTCCCACTTGCATCTTTTCCTATTTTTCTTCTTCTTCGTCCCCTTCTGTCTTTTGTCTTTCTCCCGTTTTCTCTCCCAAAAGGTTCTCTTTTCTAGCTTCCAAGATGTCCTCCCAGCAGAAGATCGCCATCGTCTCAGTCTACGACAAGACCGGTCTTCTGGACCTGGCTAAGGGCCTTGTCCAGCAGAATGTTCGAATTCTCGCTTCTGGAGGCACCTCCAAGATGATTCGAGAGTCGGGATTCCCTGTCGAGTGAGTCAATACAAGCGCTCAATTGCTTGATACTAGAGCTAAACGACGTCCGCAGGGATGTCTCCGCCATCACCAAGGCCCCCGAGATGCTTGCTGGTCGTGTCAAGACGCTCCACCCTGCTGTCCATGCAGGTATCCTGGCCCGTGATCTCGCCTCCGACGAGAAGGACCTCGCCGAGCAGAACATCAACAAGGTCGATTATGTCATCTGCAACCTCTACCCCTTCAAGGATACCGTCGCCAAAATCAACGTCAGCATCCCCGAGGCCGTTGAGGAGATTGACATCGGTGGTGTTACTCTCATCCGTGCTGCCGCCAAGAACCACAAGCGCGTCACTATTCTCAGCGACCCCAACGACTACGCTGGCTTCCTAAAGGAGCTCGAGAAAGGCGAGATCACTGAGGCCAGCCGTAACCGCTATGCCCTCAAGGCTTTCGAGCATACTGCCGACTACGATGCTGCTATCTCCCAGTTCTTCCGCAAGGAGTACGCCGGCAACGGCGAACAATACACTGCCCTTCGATATGGCGCCAACCCTCACCAGAAGCCTGCCGCCGCCTATGTTTCTGAGGGCAACCTGCCCTTTAAGGTTCTGTGCGGCTCACCCGGCTATATTAATCTCCTTGACTCCCTTAACGCCTGGCCTCTGGTCAAGGAGCTCAAGAAGGCTCTTGGCAAGCCCGCTGCTGCCAGCTTCAAGCACGTCTCTCCCGCCGGTGCTGCCATCGGCCTGCCCCTTACCGAGGACGAGAAGAAGGTATACTTTGTCCATGACATCGAGGGCATTGATGAGTCCAGCCTCGCCCAGGCTTACGCTCGTGCTCGAGGAGCCGATCGCATGAGCAGCTTTGGCGATATGATCGCTCTCAGCGATGTTGTTGACGTTCCTACTGCCCGCATCATCTCTAAGGAGGTCTCCGATGGTGTTATTGCTCCTGGCTACGAGGATGCAGCTCTTGAGATCCTCAAGAAGAAGAAGGGTGGCCGATATCTTGTTCTTCAAATCGACCCCGAATACAACCCTCCTGCTACCGAGACCCGCACCGTCTACGGAATTAACCTCCAGCAGCACCGCAATGATGTCGAGATCACCCCCAAGCACTTCAGCACAATCATTACCCCGAAAGACACTGCTTCTCTCCCAGAGAGCGCCGCTCGCGATCTGACCATTGCCACCATTACTCTTAAGTACACTCAAAGCAACTCCGTTTGCTACGCGTACAATGGCCAGGTTGTTGGTCTCGGTGCTGGCCAACAGTCCCGAATTCATTGCACTCGACTGGCCGGCGACAAGGCCGACAACTGGTGGATGCGATTCCATGAGCGTGTTCTTGGCATCAAGTGGAAGAAGGGTACCAAGCGACCTGACAAGAGCAATGCCATCGACCTGCTCGTCAGTGGCCAGCTCCCCAAGGACGGCCCTGAGCGCGAAGCCTTTGAGGGTGTCTTCGAGGAGGTTCCAGCTGCCTTCACCCCTGAGGAACGTGAGGCTTGGATGAAGCAGCTTAAGGATGTCTGCGTTTCCAGCGACGCCTTCGTAAGTAGTATATCCCTCCGCCGACTGAATTTTACTAACGTGCATGATAGTTCCCCTTCATTGACAATGTCTTCCGCGTTGCTCAGTCAGGGGCCAAATATGTTGCCGCTCCTGGTGGTAGCCAAAACGATGCCGCCGTATTCGATACCGCTGAGAAGCTGGGCATTACCTTTGTTGAGCAGAACATTCGTCTGTTCCACCACTAAGTGATACCTCATCGAAAGTTTTTTTGCAATTTGATATGGAAATGGAATTGGAAAAGTAAAAAGGCCTGAAAGTTTTGGCCTGGAAAAGAAGGATTCCCAGAGATTGTGATCTGTACGATTGCGATATTGTATACATGATAGACTTAACGCCGCGCCCAGACGCTCACTTCAACGTGATGATGATGATTTGAACCATTTGTAAAAGCTTTCCGTCCCTATACATTTCTCCCCTCTCGCTCTAAAGTCGGTTGTGCGAGACCGTGAACCCAGCCCAAATTATCTATCCCCTTTGCTCCGTTTCATTGTTGTCATGATCTTGACACCAAGCGCAAATAAAAACCAGATGAACCTCAAATCGCGTTACTTCCATGCACCCATTCGGTATTAACCATTTATGTTCTTAATCCTCAATGTCATCATCACTCAGCACCAATTTCTGAGCGAGAAGACCCGACACATTTCCTTCCTTTATACCTGCACTTTTCTTCCGGGGACTCATTTCCTCTGATGGCCTATCTGTTGCCCAAGCCTCTCCCGGCTGCATGTCGTCATCTGCGTCAGACTCTTCATCGGCAGCATTAATGCCCTTGAAGGCAACCACCTTCTCAAGTTCGCGCAAACGGAAGCTTGGTGTTTTTCGAGCACGAGCTATGTGCGCCATATATGGGAGACGCTCAAGGAGCATCTCGCGTCGGGCTGCGCTGCCAAGTGAGAGAAGCGGCGCACTATCAGGATCGTCTTCTTGCTGCTGCTGCTTTACCATGGCTTGACGATTTAGCTGCTTACGCTGCATCCAAGAAGTCTCGTTCGAGGATTGCTGAGGGCGACGAAACGCGGTGGCTCCATCGGTGAGATTTTTCGTTGCTCCATCGTCGCCTTTAAGTAGTTTTGTAGACCACACATCCACAAACCCTTCTAGCTCTTCCTTGGCACGCCAGAGTTTCAGACTCGTTGGGTAGAACATCTTGAAGGCGTCGCTGCCCTTGGACATGGTTGATGATTTGCGCTTAACAGGGTTAGGAAGTGAGAATAACATGCCCCTGACAGCTACCTGGAAAGTTATTTCGTCCTGCCGTAGCACATGGCTGCCAGAGTCTAGACCTGAAAAGCCACCTCTGCCGCCGAAAAAGATATCTCTTGATGGTGAGAGGAGATCTGCTTGTGACAGATACTCGATACAGTCATTAACGTAGTCCATTGGCGTTGACAAGTCCACAGGATCTGTGCTCTCGCAGGATAGAACATAATTTTCATGTAATGCTGAAACAAAAGTATGCGTATCTGTGCCTGTCTCATCGATGAGCGTATCAACAGACACTTGTGAGCGTTTCGGTCTCGAGAAATGCGAAAGGAAGCTTGGAAGATTCTCAACATTGTCACCGCCTGGCGGAGGAAGCTCATCTCGTTTGTTGTAGACAACCTTTCCAACAGCGTGGAAAATACCTAGACTCGCTTCACGTTGAGATACTTGTTCCAGACTCTCCTCTTCGCCTTGTGTGAGCTTGATAGCATCTTTCGCGCCCTTGGTCTGCTTTGTGAGCACGACTTTGTTGCCCCAATCCCCTTGCTGGTCACCTTTCAGACACAGGAACTCGAGGGATGACACGGCGTTTCTGATGTCTCCAATTTCGCCAAGGCGTTTTAGAACTTGGGGGCCTGGTGTTTTCCTGCGACCAGATTTTCTGGCCTCTTTCTGGACAACGAGCTCGAGTGCCTTTAGGAGTAATGACGGGGCGATGGCATTGAACTCAATCATACCGACCCCTGGATGTTGTAGGATTTCCGGCCCCAAAAGTCGATGGGCAGTAAAACTGTCCGCTGATGCAGAAGTCGTAGTCAGATGAGTTTCTGAAATGACCATGACCACCGGTGTTATGGGCTCATGCTGTGAGGGCTTCGCAAACATGGATAAAGAGGGTGTACTATTAGCAAGATACTGTAAAACGGTGCTCCGGAAGGATGTTAAAGCTGTTGAAGATCTTGAAAATGTGTTGGGAAATTCCTCGATGAGGATAACTCGTTTCAGATCATTCTTTCGGGCGATCTGAGAGCTGTTCTGGGTCGATGACACCGGAGCATCGGTCTCTAATGCTCCAAATTTACCACCACGACCAAGAAACTCTTGAAACTGCGCAGATGCTGAAACGAACCCCAGTCCAGAGCTTCCCGCAGGATTTCGCCATTCAAGAAGCTCACTGCCCATGTCGTTTGCCAGAAGTCGCAGAGTCGTTGTCTTCCCGGAGCCAGCAGCACCCTTGAGAATAAGTAGACGCTGGCGCATGCGCCCAGATATCACATCCTCCAACCATCTCCTCACATCGGAGACTTTTTTCTTGTGAACTGCTAATTCCTCCAGATTTCGAGGTCCAAATCGTTCTGACCAAGGGCGTGCATCGTCGTTTGGCCTGGGTATAGGTACGGGCTTGGGTGGTTTGATGAACTTTTGGCTGGCGCTGGGTGCACTAGACAACGACGATTGCGAGTCGTTTCGTAGTCTCTTCTTAGCATGTTGGCCAACTAAGCTTGCAGAGCTTGCTTTATGTTCCGAGATCTCATCATCCTCTGAGATAGGATCACTGATAATATCTTCGAGGGGGACGGATCGCCTGTCTCCAGCGCTCGACCACGCAGCCCTTTGTACCTGGTTCGAAAATAGCGTCTTCAAATCAGCTGTTCTTCCAGTATCTGCTGCTTTGCCAACATCCTTGGAACGCTTCGCGCTTGGACTCGTGCTATTGCTCTTCGCTTGCGCTCGACGAGGCAGCCGGAGTGGAGCATTCTTGGTTGGCTTGTTATCGACGATCTTAGGTTTTGTCGGGCTCGGTGAAGCTGTAGCGACGCGGCTTTTGGTAGAGGAGCTCGGTGAAGTAATCAGAAACTTGGTCAGGGTGTTTGCACGGGGCGGTTCGTCTTCATCGTCTGAAGCGTCAACGGCATTCCGCCGGCGGCGCTTCGCGGGCGGAGCCATCAGCGCAGAGAGTGCATTTGCAGCAACAGCATAACGTTCTGGAGGGATACGTGATCGAATTGGGGGGTGCTAGTTGGAGCTTTTCGCATGCCGTGGGGAGATGGTGATGATGCTGTTGACTATCTGATAGCTTTGATGGGGCGTTATCGTGAATTGAGACCCGCAGTACAGTGTATGACCCACTGAAGCACGTTACGGTACATTGACATTTAACCCCTGCTTAAACACCTACCTAGACTCCCAAATCGAGGATTTGTTATATGAATCACAAGCCACAGCGTATTCTTGATGGGACAATTTCATAAGTTCGTTTCCGCATTGCACCACAGTGGTCATTTCGCAATGCTATCAATCTGAGGTCGATTTTACAGGAAAGTATACAACTGATCCGTATCCAAGGTGCGTATCTCAGTATGTCCACCCCTTGAAGTTGTCGACAAAAGTCAAGGCTGCCAGAAGGTATCGATCGTGAACGTCGCCCCATGTCTTTGAAGCCTCCTTCAACACGCGGATCGCTTACACAGGGTTAGTGGACGGGGATGTAGCAACTGGAGAGATGGCCTTACCTTTGACGTAATGAGCATCTGTAGCCCAGTCAGAGTTCACTGCCTTGTCCTCGACGTACTTCCAGCCTCGTTGTTTGGGGTCGTTGTCCACGTTATCCGGGTCTGGGAGTGGCCGGCGTTTCACGATAAAGATGCCCAAGGCCAGGAGCCACCATTGCCGAACCAGAGGAATATGGTATTTTTCGGGAATGAAGGGAAGAAGAACTCGGACGGCATGACTGGTTGTTAGTATATGCACGAGCATGAAGTTGAATGCATGGGTGCCTGGCTTGACTGTGGCTACTAGCAAAGCGGCTGCGGCTTCTTGGGACAGTTCGAATTGCTTCACAGGATCTGTGATTTCCCATGCGTTCCAGTACTCCAGGATAATGTCCTCATGCTCGCTGAAGAGCTCTTCCAGGTCGTACAGGCCGGATCTGACGTCATCAAATCTATTGTCCTCGGATAGTTTGGTGAGAAGATCCATTGGGGATGCCGAGGTAAAAGGCGCCTTTCTGGTGTACGACTTGTTGTCGAGGTACTTATGGAGAAAGTCATGCTGAACACAAGCAAGTCCAAGGGCCTCCATGGCAAGTTCCTTACAATCCATCTCGAAGGCATAGCCTAGATGGATGAGCGGGTGTCCGACTATGAGTGTTAGCGACGAACATGTATTCTTCATGTGGGATTAGAGACATACGGCCGCCGATCAGGCCATTGATCAGAGGCTCATCGCCAGTGAACAGATAATGCTCCATTTCTTGGTGCCAGTCATAATTGAATCGCATAACGAGCTTGTCTTCAAAGAAGTCCACAAAAGCCCGTTGGTACCTTGCATCGCCCCGAAGCTCTTGCCAGTCATCCTCTCCAATCTCAGCGGGCGACGGTACCCATGCCTCCAGCTCGCGGATTTCTCTGTCGTAGATATCATTTAGTTGAGGAACACTTGCTCCCAAGAGGTATGCTGAGCTGAGGATATGAGCGTTGTGATTATCGTATTGAAGGTTGTTGTAGACGATGGAGTAGTTAGCATGATTTGCTTTCAATAGGTGCTTTAGACATCTTGCCCGTTTATTCGGGTCTGTCTCAATGTGATGAATCTCAACCGAGGGGATGTTGATGGCTTTCCGGTTACCATCAAGTCCTAGTAGTTTATTAACCACAGGAACTTGAGCAAGAATCCCGGACATTGTAGGACCGCAAGATGAGGTGATGTTTGGCTGATTTCAGGTTGTTATGATGAGAGATTGTCAAAGGCTCATGACGTTGAATCGAACAATGAAATCAATGTTCCGTTGGGGCTTCCAGCGGGCACTAATAAATCATAGCGGGGCAAACCTTTTCTTTGGGGGCAGGGGTAGCACTGTAACGCAGAGGTTCCCCAATGACGCGTGCACGGGCCACACAATTATCAATCTTCAAAGTCGCGCGTCTCGTTCCAGAATCTTTAAACCAAGCAAGCCATTCACCTCAAAAAAAGATATCTTGAGGATGGCTTCTCAAACTTCCACGATATATGCAGAACTTCTGTCGAATATCAGACAAATCTCTGTTACTGTATCTCTATTGGCATCAGTCGATTCTTCCACAAAAGCAGAAATCTCACCGGATGGCCGGCAACTCAGCGTAACACACCACGGCCACACAGAGCACGTCACTTTGCCGGCACAAACATCTGCCATAGGCTCATTACCTGTAGCCCAGATTGGCCGTTCAAACCTATCATGGAGGCTTCCAGTCTCACCAACAGAGGCGAGGCCCTCTCGTTTCTCTTTAGAAAGCCAAGCGGTGCCATGGACCTCAGTCGATATCGCAACTGGATCATCGGTAGCCTGCCGCAGCTGTGGCAGCGAGTTCGTCGCGCAAAGTATCATCAATGCATGGAAAGACTTACCGAGTGAGAACTGGGCTGAAATGATGGAATTTTGGCATTGTCATAAACCTCATGACCATGATCACCAGGATACCGAGTCTTTGGCTACCAAAGGCTACGGTGCCAGTCATGCTATATCCGCCCAACAGGGAGTTGGCTTTGTCGACTTGACATCATTCCTGTTCTCGGAGTCCGACTGCCGAAGCCTGCAAGTAAGTATCAATCCTGCAGCACTGATTCGACCTTGACTACGCTTGGACAAACCTCAAGCAATCAATCTACGGGGAGAAAGAAGATGTCCATGTCGGTATCCCAAACCGTTCAGTGATTTGGCCATCGATACAACTCCCCAATATGAATGCACTTGTCGTCCCCACACTGATGGGCAGTCAGCTTTCTGGAAACCTTCTTCACCGAACGGGATCCTAAGGTAATCTGAAGACGCAGTCCCTCTTTTTCATCTAACCTCCCATAGATATGGGTGTTTAGAGATTACCGAGAGGCATATTGCTCAAGAAATTGCATGAAGTTTTTGTTCATTGGCAGTTTACTTACACACTCTAGTATTCTTCCTCAACACCGGATGCTGGGTTCGATCTATCTTCGCTGGCGCTCAATGACGACGAGAGCAAGAAGTTTTTACACATATATTGCCGGGAATGCACGACAGAGGTAGGCTTGTACAATATCGCGGCATTGTCTGTCACCTTGTTCAAATGGAAAATTACTTGCCAAACCAAGACCACAGATCCTAGTCCAAGCAGTTCCGAGTGTCTTGCAGCAACTCTGCTGGCTACGATTTCTAGGTCGGGGTCATCCAAGTCTATTATCACGCCGCATAGTTCTGGGATTGCAACCCCCGAAGCAGTTTCTCTTCAGAACCTTCATCTATGGGTGTTGAACCCCAACGTCGTATACACAGCGTCCTCCACCGCTGACCGCAAGACAGCGATGAAGATACTCTACAAGCATATCGATCCATCAGAGAGTGAGAAACTTCTCACGTCCATGACCTCAGATGTCCAGGAGATAAGTTTGCCCGAGGAAGCTATCAAAGCAGCAGATAATTGCTTGTTATGGAGCAGTGAATTACTACCTGTTCAAGAAAGGACTTTCAAAGAGTGGCAAGTGGGGCTGCTTGAGAGATGGGAACCTGCGTCTTGATGATAGATTAGTAATTATTATATCTTGACTTTGAATGTCAAATCTTATGCCTTCGTTAGAGTAAAGTTCTTAATAAACCCCATCCGTAATCTCGGCTTTGGGTCGATTGGCACATATTATTGAGCCCTGTCACAAGGCGTTGGTGATTACTCCTCTACGGTGTGTGACAACTGTAAGAGCTACCGTGAAATGGCAGAGAACAATGTGCGACAAAGCTACCCATACTGTGAGCTTTGCCCACCCTGTAGGCAACCACCTGTATTCTCTTCCTATGACCAAACATCCCCCTCGCATGGGCCCGAAACCAAGTGAGATCTCATATCTGATTTTCGATTAACACTAATGAGTACATGGGCTTGCCGCCGCTGACTTCACTTTGAGATGAAAACTACTGCTCGCCCTTCCTGAATCATCGTCTGCCCATTCCTTGTGGCAGCCTTAACAGATCACGATGCCACCAAAAAGAACAGATTTCATACCCGCTGGGTGTATACCAATCAAGAGAACAGAAATCAAACTAGATTCAGAATGGTTCTCGGATGAACTTCGAGAATGGAGAGCCTTCGGCTCTTTATCGAAAGAAGCAGGCCAAACAGATTCAAAGGATGACGAACCCTTCCTCCCAGATAACCTGGAAATTGCTTTGACTCGTATAGGGACACTCCGATCATGTATCAAACTATTCCGGGCATCCTGGGCAAAACTTCAATTCAGCATTCAAAGCAAAGATTCCGATCATGGGTTTGTCAGGGTTTATCTGCTGCCTGATGATGTCCTCCGTGGCACGGTGGACCGCTCCAACCAGACTCTATTGAGAGTAAGAAATGGTGGTGTCCTTGGTCATTTAAACTACTCACAAGAAGCATGGGCTGGAAATTCAAACGCAATATGGTTAGATATGCCACTCCTCCACGAAGCTGTTGTCCAGAACGAACATCTAAATGAAGGCATGTCGCTATTGCAACTTTTCAACAAAATTCCATCGCCTATGCCTAGAATCAACAGCATCGAGGAGACTTACTCAAAGTCTGCCATGTGTGATATCCTGGACGGCCAAGTTCCAGGACTGAAGTCGGAGCTGTATCCGTATCAGCGGAGGTCGGCGGCCATGATGCTACAAAAAGAGGTCCAGCCCGAGCAAGTGCTTGACCCGCGTCTACTCCACGTCAAAGACCAAGAAGGAGGATCATGGTACGTTGATACTGTGGCTGGTACGGTACTCAGGGAGCCACGATACTATGATGGGGTTTCTGGCGGCATCCTTGCTGAAGAGATGGGCGCTGGAAAGACTATCATTTGTCTCGCGCTCATTCTCGCAACAAAAGGACTGCCCACTCAACCACCCGAGTATGTTTGTGCTGAGAAAACCCCAGTCAGGAAGCGCCTGGCTCCTTTGGCTGAAATGGCTGCGTCTTGTGCCACAAGGAATGCAGTCCCCTGGCGTCCCTATTTCGACATTTACAAGACCAAGTTAGGGGACGAGTATGAGAGATGCATTGCAGCACTAGAAAGAAACCCAGGGTACTACTCTTTCCAGTCATCTGAAAAGCGACGGGTTACTAGATGCTGTACCGAAACTGAGTTCAAAAAGACGCGGCTCTACCTTAGTAATGGGAGTATTGTGGTTGTACCCCCCAATTTATTGATGCAGTGGAAGCAAGAGATCAGCAAGCATACCGATGGCCTGGAGATTCTAGTTGTGACGCGAGATCAGCCATTACCAAATGCAGAAGACTTGCTGAAATTCGATCTCATTCTATTCACTCAGACAAGGTTGGAGTATCTACTTCGACAAGAGGGTGGACTTGAACAATCTCCACTGTCCAAGGTCCATTTCAAGCGATGCATTGTCGATGAAGGACACAAGCTTGGGCATTCTAAGATGAGTAGTAAGAGCAATTTGCTTCTCGTCCTGGATGCTTTGCATTTCTCTTCGCGGTGGATTGTGACAGGAACTCCATCTCAAGGCTTGTATGGAGTCGACACGCAAACAAAAACACCACAATTTGTAACACAACCTGAAGAGGGTGGTTCAGTGGCGACCTGCAACACATCCAGAAGCTCTATTCTAGAAATGGAGAGAAGGGATCTGGAAAGGATTGGTGTTGTGGCAGCGCTCTATCTGAGAGCACGGCCATGGGCGAACACGACCCTGGACGTTGGTGACACTAAGGCGGACTGGGCTGCTTACTTGCTACTTCCGAAACATAAACAGAAGAGCAAAGGCCGCTGGGACTGCTTGAGAGCGACTCTCAACTCTCTCATCATCAGGCACCAGATCGCAGAGGTCAATAGTCTATTCCCACCTGTCAACGAGAAGCTCGTTGTATTGGAGGGTTCGTACCAAGACCAGATGTCGCTCAACATCTTCTCCATGATGATCATCTTCAACTCGGTTCAATCCCAACGAACCGATGTGGATTACTTTTTCCACAACAAACAGCGAAAGGCTCTTCTTCAGATAGTGCACAACCTGAAGCAGGCGAGCTTTTTTGGAGGGTCGTTCTATTCTCAGCGAGATATTGAAAATGCTGTCCGAACCGCTGAAGATTTCCTTGCGGAGAAAAAAGTACCCACCAGTGACCAAGATCGAGAACTCCTTGAGCAAGCGATTAAGTTTGGGCATGTTGTTTCCGACAACAAGCTCAAGGCTCTTAGCAATGCGTTTCACGAGATGCCGCTCAGCGTCCACGGTTTACCGCACAATGTCAGTGCATCTTGGTCACTCGACCAAGAAGCTGGGGACCACATATGCAGCTCGTCATCCATGTTGGTGACACTTCAGAAACTCATCTATAAATCAGCATCAAAACCCGAGGAGCTGAATTCTCTATTGAATGGCCGGTTGATTCAAGAAGGTGTCGATTCGAGAATGCGCATGCTCGCATCAGATGAGACAACAAACAGCTCCCAAACCTTGGCCGGTAATACGAAACTGGGAGATGACAAACACCGAATCACTAATGCTCACGGGGTTAGTGATGTGAAAGTGGAAGTCGAAGCAACCGCTGATGGTGCACTTGGACCATTGGAAACAGTCAAGATCACATCCACGGTATCAGCCAAACTGTCATACCTGATTGATAGCGTTCTCAGATATCAGGAAAATGAAAAGATACTTATCTTCTACGAAAATGACAATGTTGCATGGTATTTAGCCGGTGTGCTGGAAGTTGTAAGGAAGTATCTGCCTGTTGTCCAACGCAATGCTAACTTCAAACAGCTTCAAGTTCAACACCTAATCTATGCCAAAGGACTGACCGTACAGAGAAGATCACAATACGTCAACACTTTCAATCACAATGATGATTTCAGGTGAGTTTCTGAAACTCTCTTGATGCCATGGGCTAACAAGGAGGAAGAGTTCTACTCATGGACATCTCACAGGCAGCTTTCGGCCTAGACATGAGAGTTGCGTCACGGATCTACTTCATCAGCCCAGTCCTAAACCCTCAAGTTGTAGCGCAGGCAATTGGCCGTGCGCGAAGGATCAGCCAGCAAAAACCAGTATTTGTCGAGACTCTGGTGCTAAGAAACAGTATAGACGAGGTCATCTTAGAACGCAAAGAACACATGACGCAGGCTGAACACCGCCGAGTTCAGTCCATTCTAGATGATGGCCAAATTTGCGAATGGGTCAAGAATGCCCGGATCACGCCATTGCCGAGGGGCGATTTCAGTAAAGAGGACCAGATGTCACCTCTGGATTCACCGCAATACGTGTTCAGAAGAGGATTTGGGAGGACTATGCACCCCGATGAAGGCTTGGTACTGGACGAGACTCCAAGGTCTGATGGGAGAGTGCTGAGGCCTCTCGAGATGGCGAATGGGAAGAAACGAACGACACAGTTTGGTGCAGCCACACTCGGTCGAGATCAGAGTCAACAAAAAGACTCGTCATCTAACACAAGCGATCTCGCCGCGCGGCCATCGAAGAGAGTGCGGTTCGGGTGAAGGGTGAAGGAGGTGTAGTATTGCGCCACACACGGCCACATCCCCGCACTGAAGTGTGGCGGGTGGGAAGCTAAGTTTCAGAACCAAGTCAGAAGTTGGTAAACATTGTAGATGCTAGCTGAAAGATGTTGATGCACGTGTAAGAGTTTGGAGTTTGGCGTCATGGAAGAAGAGTTCGGTTTCTAGTTGAGAGGAGCTAAGGGAAGAAGCTAAGGTGTATGGAGTATCGCTCAGAGCTACTGATCAAAGGTACCTGCAAGTTTGAGACCAACCACCTGGAGAATCAGCAACAGAAATGAGCTTGGCTTGATGTTCCTGGTTACCAAGAGCCTTAAACTTGGACAGGCGATGGGTCTGTTTGTTAGCTTCTGTTAAGCGATGCAGAGTGAAAGAGTGATGAGAAAATGACATTTTTAATGTTGAAAACAGAATGATCCATATGTCGACAGTGGTTACTCCATGGCAAGGTATCCCTGTAGAGGTACTGGCTGTAATGAGGCTCAGCAATCGAGAAGTAGCGGTATAGAATGGTAAGTCAAGGGTTCGATAACTCATTGTTCAGAGGGAGCACAAACCACAGGATGAGCAATAAGAATGAGGCCATGACTGTTGAGTTGAGTCCCAATCCATGTACGTACAACCTGCGGATATGTCGGTTCTCATGACGAGTCCCCCCACAGCAAAAACAAGATGCACGCATGTACTGTACATATGGGTACGCAGTACGGTGAACCGCCAGGAGGATTCGCATCACCGTACTCCGTAGTTCTAACCGAAGCTTTCAGGACTTGGCGATAATTGCGAAATGCACATTTTGTGGAGGGGGATGGCTAGTCGATATTATAGCGCGGGTACCCGTACAAATCTCCGAGACTTTTATGCTATTGAAATATGGGATGTCTGTGTGTTCCAGAACGGAAAATGTTCCCTGCTCTGATCGGAGGCGAGTAGTCTAGGGGGTGCCTTGGAGACAATTCTTTTCGGATCCGTTTAACATGTACATACTGACGGGATCTCCTCAATAACTTAGTAGTAGGTAAGTAGTT